TAAAAGGCCCCGATATGAAAAATATGAAACAGTTCAATTGAGAAACTAACGGCCTAATCTATAACAAAACAATTTACGAAAAAAAAATATGAAAGACATGAAACAACGACAACCACTGAACTACAAGGCTCCTGACTTGGGATAGGCACATAAAGAATGTGGCGGGTTAAACATGTTTGTGAGCGCTCAATCCTCCCCCTAACCTGGGACAGTGGTGTTACAGCGCAACATAAGAACAAACTATAAAAATCAGTTGAAAATTGTTTAACTCATCAGATCGATACAAAGCAGAAAAACATCTAACAAAAACACAAACTGGACGTTGCAGGGTATTCATACATCCCTAATAACAAAAGACACAAAGTACAGATCTGAGAAATCATGTATCTAAGACCAATATATCAATGAGTACACAGTCGAGAGAAAAACATGACCTTGTACAATGCCATAATATAGGTATCGACAGATTTTAGTACTGTGAAAGTGCATATGTGTATAACAATACTATTTAAGTTTATGTAAAGGATTGATAAGTTAACCCGGGTCGTATATAAATTTCCGGGTTCGGTAAGCAACATCCCCGTAAAATTTAGGGTGTGCTTTTCCGTCTGAAATCATTTTGTTTACAGGTACAGTCAAACTTGCAAACCAAATCATTGTATCTATGGAAGAATTTAGTAAAGGTTTTAAGTGATTTGTGGCAACGAAATCCTGACTTAATAATTTACCAGTAATACATAGATTACGCTCATTGAAATTCAAAACGTCACTATAGACACGGGCATAGCGAACGAGTTGGGATATAAAAACACCGTAAGATGGTGCCAAAGGAACATCACTGTCCAAAAAAGGAAAATTAACATCAGGGAAAGAAAAATCATCCCTTTTGTCGTAAATTTTTGTGTAGATTTTCTGTTGTAAAACTTAAAATTCTAAATCTAGGAAAGGACACTTATTGCTGTTGATATTTGATTTATTGTAGGTAAGTTCCTTTGGGTAAATTTCGGCAGTATATTTAGAGAATTCTTGATTATTTAACGAACAGATATCATCAAGATAACGATAAGAATTGTTGAATTTATCAATTACTAGTATATGGAATTTAGACGGGTCTTTACTGAGTTTGGCCATAAACTTTGATTCATAACAGTACAGGAACAAGTCTGCTTTTAACGGGGCACAATTGGTGCCCATAGGAATACCTACAATCTGTCGATAAACATTATTGCCGAAACGTACATAAATGCTGTCAATGAGAAAACTTTTGGCTTTAATGGTCTCTTCACACCTCCAGTAAGGATATCTAGATATAGGAAGATGTGGTATGAGTGCCAATGAGACAACTCTCCATCCAAGTAACAATTTATAAAAGTAAACCATTATAGGTCAAGGTACGGCCTTCAACACGGAGCCTTGGCTCACACCGAACAGCAAGCTATAAAGGGCCCCAAAAATTACTAGTGTAAAACCATTCAAACGGGAAAACCAACGGTCTAATCTATATAAAAACGAGAAACAAGAAACACGTATGAACTACATAAACAGACGACAACTACTGTACATCAGATTCCTGCATATTTACCGTTCTTATTTGAGATAAAGGCTTTATATGAGTTACAGCAATTAAATTTGCAATCAGATTTATCAAACCACCATTAAATTAAATAGGAAAACTTTTGTTTTATTTTGTGTTGTGTGGAAGTGTAGTATAAAGAGTGGGAAAGTCAAAACTGTCAACCGAATCAAAAGGGCCATCAAAAGCACGTAGTTTATCTAAAACATCCAAAGAATTCTTTGATATTTTATAGTGTGTCTTTCTATGTTGTGATGTTACACTATTGTTTCAGAAAAAGGGTGAAGGTTTGGTACCATTAAAACGTTTAAACCCGCTGCATTTGTTTGCACTTGTCCTAAGTCAGGAATCTGATGTTCGGTAGTTGTCGTTTGTTGATGTGGTTCATAAGTGTTTCTCGTTTCTCGCTTTTTATATATATTAGACCGTTGGTTTTCCCGTTTGAATGGTTTTACACTAGTAATTTTTGGGGCCCTTTATAGCTTACTGTTCGGTGTGAGCCAAGGCTCCGTGTTGAAGACCGTACTGTGACCTAGAATGGTTTACTTTTATAAATTTTGACTTGGATGGAGAGTTGTCTCATTGGCACTCATGCCACATCTTCTTATATCTATTTACACTCCAAGAATGGTTAATTCCACTATTTTCATAGGTTTTATTACAAAAAATAATGATAAGTTCTTTGATAGTAGTTAAGGAACTCGTTAAAAGCACTGACAGATTAATAGTAGAACACTGACTAGAGGCACTTACATGTTTAACCACCTCCACATTCATTATGTGCCTGTCCCAAATCAGAAGCCTATAGTTCAGCGGTTATCGTTGGTTCATATCTGTCATATTTGTTTTTCGTAAATTGTTTTGTTATAAACTATGCCATTTGTTTTCTCGTGAATTGTTTCACATTTTTGTCTCGCCTGGACGGAATAAAAAAACGAGACATATGTATGCTGTTTCCGGCGTCGGAGGCGGCGGCAGCGTCAACAACGTATTAGTTTGTGATTAGGTCTAGTTTATTGTGAACCACTAGTGGTAGGTCAATGATATTTGGTAAGCAGTTGTATAAGCATTGGCATATCTCATTTCCATGGAGATTATTTGGCTCTGCCCTCTCAGTCATGGTCTATTGACTTTGAAACTTTTGCTTCGTTTACATGTATTAGTTTGTGATTAGGTCAGTTCAAGGGGAAACATTAGTGATAGGCCAATGTAAATTGGTATGCAGTTGTATAAGCATTGGCACATCTCGTTTCCATGGAGAATATTTGGCCCCGCCCCCTCAGTCATGGTCTATTGACTTTGAAACAGTTTAAGATGAACCGCTAATGTTAAGTCAGTGCTATTTTGTATGCAAATTTATTGGCATTTGCAAGTCTCGTTTCCATGGAGATTATATAGCCCCATCCCCTCATATGGTTCATTGACTTTGAAACTTTTACATAGTTTACAAGTTAATGTTTGTGTTTAGGTTTGTTTAAAGGGAACAATTTATGATAAGTCAATGGTATTTGGTATGCAGTTGTATTAGCATCAGCACATCTCATTTCCATGGAGATTGTTTATTCATGTACCTTCAGTCATGGTTCGTGGACTTTGAATATTTGCATAACTTACATGTTAAAGTATTGCTATTTTAATTGCATTATCAAAATTACAAAAAGGCGAGACATATCTCTGTGTTAACAGTTTATTCATGTCGGGGCCTTTAAAGCCGACTATACGGTATGGGTTTTTCTCATTGTTGAAGGCCATAAGGTTGCCTATAATTGCTTATATCGACTACATATAAACTGTGGTAGATAGTTGTGTCATTGCCATTGGCAATCATACCATATTTTATATACAAAGATAAATATACGGTTATATATTTAAAGAAAAAGAACAAATAAGAAAGGGGACAGCTATCTCGCATGCAAACGTCAAAAACTGTTAAACATATGGGCTTACACTACAACCACGGAGACACAGTGTACTGAATCCAACAAATCTTGCAATCAGTATAATATCAAGACCGGTACCGGGTCTGGACCTGCGTCGATGCTTAAGGTGTCAGACCAACAATTCATCCACTCCAATGTAAAAGTAGCACTTCCCTGACAAAAATAGTGCTTTAGATGTCATTGTTTACTTAAACTAACCAACACATTGGCAGAAATGAGACTGTTGGTGAAAGAGAACGCTGGTATTTAAGACCCGAAACGTTGGTTGTTTTGAAAATTGGCATGTAGAAAGGTGATACATGTACAATTCAGGATATAACTGGTTTCCATGAAGTTAAACTTAAGGTAAAATATTTAGAAAGCTGTGAAAACTGAAAAATTTGGTTGAATAGATAGGGATTTTGAATTGGTGGTCTGACACGTAAATGGACCCCTAATGTTGTTTCGTTCTTATCGCAAATTATCCATGTACAGTAACTGTTGAGTACACGTTACAACTCAACATTCTTAAGCTCCAGACCAAATGTCAAATCATTCCCTTTAAAGAAGCCAAGAAAATTTTAACGACGAAAATTTTCCTTGTACAGTGAGTGTTTTAAAGGTGCAAACTTTTGGGAAACAGGAAGTAGTTGCACTGCTAATATAAAAATGCTAACACGTTACAATTCAATATTATTACGCTCCAGACGAAATATAAAATAATTCCCTTCCATATAAAACACAAGAAAAATGTTCGTCAAATTTTCTTGTAAACTATTCAAACTATCGGCAAACAGGAAGTGGTGGCACACCTGATGTAAAAATTGCTTGCACCCTACACATGCTACAAGTCAACGACCAAATATAAAATCAGTCCCTTTCATAGAAGACAAGATAAGCTTGACGAAAATTTTCCATGTACAATGAGTGTTGTAAAATTTGAAACAATGGGCAAACAGGAAGTTGCTGCACGGCGAATGTAAAAGTTGTTTACTTGGTACAACTCAGCATTATCAAGCTCCAAACTATATATAAAATTATTCCCTTCCATAGAAGCCAAGTAAAGCTTGATGAAACTTTTCCATCAAAAAGTCTTTTGGACGGACGACGGGCAGACAGACAGATGGAGTGGAAGTTACGCAGAGAAGTTGACCTGCTTTCTCCCGGTACCAAAAATCGATGTACATATATAATGAACGGATGGTAAACTCGGGGATAGATTGTTCATCAGCCGAAACATATATATATTAGATTTAATATCTGCGTGTTTATATGTACACTATAATAATTTACGTTCTATACAGTCCTATCTAAAGATTCTATTTGAAGGAAAATCTTTAAATTTTATTATAAAACAATAGCTTTGCTATTTATATACTTTAAAATTTGTTAAAGTACTTAACTGATGAAATGTTTCGATTTAATAATATATATTGGATAATAACACAAGTCGGCTAATCGTATAAACAATACGACCGAGCCAGCCATATACCCGTTAACTGTCTGATACAATCCGTATTATAACTAGATTATCCTAATACACACGAATTGATTATAAATCTTTAATGTATCTAAACGTAGTCGACCGTGTCGGAGGAGAACAAAAGCCGTTGTTAACCACACATTAATATCATATTCAATATTGCTGTAATACAGAAACTGACAATAATAAGTGTAAAGTTAGAATGCACAATACTGAGGAATATATTGGGACAAGTGTTATCTGTGAAAGGCAATCGACCAGGAATACTGAATACGATGACTGTTTAAGGTCTATGTAGCGATGATATTAATGTTTATGACACTGAATTAAAGATGATACTTGATTATAACGGGTCAGAAAACTTGGCCGAGACAGAAATTGGACAGTATTGAAGTTAGAACAAAAAAACTTAGTATATATGATCATGGTTTAAAGATTTAAGAATTGTGTACGAAATTTGTTTAGGAAGAATAATCCTTTATTAATCCATATACAGACTGTGTGTTACTCGAGAAATGACGTTAGCTAGTTTTAAAATGTCGATACAACACAACTTACCGTTTGAAATTTCTCGTGATTTATTAACATATGAGCCTGGAGCAGACACCAAGAATATTAAGCTGAAACAACATTTATGTGTCCGACATGCCATGCCTAAAACAAATTTATATGGAACTATTCTACATGAGAATGTCAGTCAGGATCGACATCTGGAAAGACAGTTGACAAGCCTGAGTGTTAGACAACTGAAAAATTCAAATTCATTTGATCTCTCAGCCAGAACTTTCATGAAAAATCAAGAAAGAAAACAGGCCAAATGGAGACGCGAGGATGAGTTTCGTCTCTCTGGGCTCAATTTACCAAATGTACAAATAGCGGAAGAAAAAAGGCGCCCAAGTTTTGATGTGATGTATCATGCACCGGAGTACAATTTTAGAAGCCAGAGTGTCAGAGGAAAGGAAAATTTACCCAAAATGCCATTCAGTATCCGACGTGAAAAAACGGAGATTGTAACTCATAGAGAGCGGACATTTATGACACGACTGCCAGAAGTTATGGTTGTCGATCAGGATGCACTAAAAGAATATAATAAATACAGAGGCAAATTGCATCTAAAACCAGGAGCTCCGACTAAAGATGGTAGATTTCAGAAACTACATTCAACTTTATCACAACCCCTTATAAAAGACTCCGATGACCTACCAAACGAAAATTCAAAGAGTAAGAGTCGTCTTTCGAAATACAGCTACGAATCACATGATGATCAAACTGATAAATCATTGGATATGACAGGACAAGAAGCAGACGACAATAGACCACCGTGGATGATGACGCGTGCTCAAACAGATATGATTTTAAAGAGAAAACAAAGAAACGCGGAGGAAGATACACTCAGTATTCACCAACCAAACCGTTCAAAAAGCAATGACATTTTGGAATCTTTTAGAACAAAAGACGTAAAACAGCTAGCAAAGTCATTAAGTAAAAACAGAGCCGAAAAAGACAAAAATGGCAAAGATTCGGTAACATTCGTGCCTGGTGTTAATGTATATTACAGTACGAAAAAGTAAAACCAAATATGAATCAAGGTTGGAAAATTGTGTTCATGTATGGAGTATTTAATCGTCACCATTACAGTATTATTGTACTATTATATTATTTATTATTTCAAATACGTTTATTTTTGTGGACTTTGGGGGTAATTACACATCTATAGGGATGAATAAAATGCTTTAAGTCCATTTTATATTGATTGTATACATGTATATAGAGGCCTGTTTAACTTGATTACGGTTCTGGAAAGTTTCTTTCGAAAAAGAGGAATACAGTTACGGATATTCGATACTTAGTTTAATTAATTAACTGATGGCTTCTTCGAAGTCCACTGTCAAATAGTACATGCAATATGGAGGACGATGGCATGTACTAGACCGATGCGATGAGTTTAATTTGATCTGGGACATAAAATATATATGTTAGTATAATAGTCCCAGATTTGATTTATTCGTCTAGTAGTCAGAAGACCTGTCTCTCTTACCGTAAACATAATCATGAATTCGGGCCACTCATCATGTCCCCATCTACGAAACGGTATGTGTCTGGATGAAAAGCACCAACTACAAATGTTTAAGTCTTTATATTAACCCAGTTTATGGTCGGACGTACGTTCCCCCACTCTAGGTGAGCACGCTACAACAAGACTACAGCGGTGGTCACTGTTGTTCATATACATTCTTGATAAACTCTGTCTTTTTGGCTCTCACGATACAATAGGACCGGGACATACTCAGTCTAGATCATTTGACGATACAAATTTGAAATGTCTGACATATGTTGTTACAATGTCAGTCCAATTGTCTGACACAAGGAAATAAATTTTTTAATATAATAATTACAGGTTCCTCACTTGGGTTTTTAATGTTAACAAGTGTTCAAAACCGAACCCCTGACCAGGAACAATTGTGTAACAGCACAACATAAGAACAAACATAACAAAATCCGTAAATGAAGGATTTTGAACCGATTTAAAATATGATAACAACTTTAACAGTTCATGATTGATTGTTGGGTTAGTGTTGTTCAAATTTAAGTTTCCGAGGAGACTTAAATGTTAATTCCTGCCAACTTTTTGAAAATCTACATTGGATATATTTAGCACTTTTCAAAATATGTTTATAATGAGGGAAAAAAACCAAGCAACTGTGAACAACTAAAACAATTCATGATTGATTGATTGATGTTGGTGTTAAACCCCACTTTAAGCACACTTTACTAAAATCAAGGTGGCCAGATTTTATTGACAACGGAAGCCGGAATACCTAAAGTGAATAACCACCTTCGACTGAAAAACTTTCAAGTGAATCCTAATCAATTTCTGGTATATTTGCTTCCCCTCAAGTTGAACATGCTTAGATGCAATCGTTGACAACTAACGATGTTAAGGATGTACTTAAGTGAAATTAAAAAAAAATCTAGAATTTAAAAGTGATACAATAAGTCAGAAGAGCATTAATTTAGTTCAAGAACTAAATAAGCTAAAAATATTGATAAGTTATGGAGCTCCTTTTCGAGATATTTAATTTTAAAAAATGGCGGGAAAAGGCTGACTCGGACTTTTACCTTATATTTGCAGTGGTAATATTTGGGTCTCAAATTGGAAGAAAAGAAATCTAGAACCTGCTTAAATTTTGGTAAATGACCATTTATGAGCTATTGAAGTCTTTATGGAAAAGAAAAATGGGTGTTACGGGGTAAAATATTTTACCCTGTAAAGTAGGAAAAAAACCAAGAAGTCCGAGCATTTGACAAAAATTCCTAAACCTCACCTAAGTACATCCTTAAATCATGTTTTGTATATGTATAATATAATAAATAATCAACAACTACTTGTGCAATCTTTATTGTAATCATATACAGTGATATGAGATAAAAAGCCACGATGAAAACGCACAGAAACGTAGAGAAACAAATTTAGGAGTGCACTTTCCCAGCCTTACAAAGTGCAATGCCCTGCACTGGCATCCTGCCCCTTTCAATTTCTAGCTGGAGCACTTGCAATGAATGGAAATGTAGAAAATTTAATTTGAATCAAAAATATTAGATTTTTATGTTTAATCTGTTTTGGTGGAGACATGAGGAAGTACATGTATATTATTTTTGGAAGAAAAAAAATACGTTGAAAAGAAACAATCGGCAGGGATGGGCACGATTACCTGTCAATGGCACATAGCAGGCTGGGTTGTAGTGGTGTGCTACTGTACATGGCACATAGCAGGCTGGGTTGTGGTGGTGTGCTACTGTCAATGGCACAGAGCAGGCTGGGTTGAAGTGGTGTGCTACTGTCAATGGCACATAGCAGGCTGGGTTGTAGTGGTGTGCTACTGTCAATGGCACATAGCAGGGTGGGTTATAGCGGTGTGCTACTGTCAATGGCACATAGCGGGCTGGGTTGTAGTGGTGTGCTGCTGTCAATGGCACATAACAGGCTGGGTTGTAGTGGTGTGCTGCTGTCAATGGCACATAGGCTGGGTTGTAGCGGTGTGCCGCTGTCAATGGCACATAGCAGGCTGGGTTGTAGTGGTGTGCTACTGTCAGTGGCACATAACAGGCTGGGTTGTAGTGGTGTGCTACTGTCAATGGCACATAGCAGGCTGGGTTGTAGTGGTGTGATACTGTCAATGGCACATAGCAGGCTTGGTTGTAGTGGTGTCCTACTGTCAATGGCACATAACAGGCTGGGTTGTAGTGGTGTGCTACTGTCAATGGCACATAGCAGGCTTGGTTGTAGTGGTGTGCTACTGTCCATGGCACATAACAGGCTTGGTTGTAGTGGTGTGCTACTGTCAATGGCACATAGCAGGCTGGGTTGTAGTGGTGTCCTACTGTCAATGGCACATAACAGGCTTGGTTGTAGTGGTGTGCTACTGTCAATGGCACATAACAGGCTGGGTTGTAGTAGTGTGCTGCTGTCAATGGTACATAGCAGGCTTGGTTGTAGTGGTGTGCTACTGTCCATGGCACATAGCGGGCTGGGTTGTAGTGGTGTGCTACTGTCAATGGCACATAACAGGCTGGGTTGTAGAGGTGTGCTACTGTAAATGGCAAATAGCAGGCTGGGTTGTAGTGGTGTGCTACTGTAAATGGCACATAGCTGGGTTGTAGTGGTGTGCTACTGTCAATGGCACATAGCAGGCTGGGTTGTAGTGGTGTGCTACTGTCAATTGCACATAGCGGGCTGGGTTGTAGTAGTGTGCTACTGTAAATGGCACATAGCAGGCTGGGTTGTAGTGGTGTGCTACTGTCAATGGCACATAGCAGGGTGGGTTGTAGCGGTGTGCTACTGTCAATGGCACATAGCGGGCTGGGTTGTAGTGGTGTGCTGCTGTCAATGGCACATAACAGGCTGGGTTGTAGCGGTGTGCTGCTGTCAATGGCACATAGCAGGCTGGGTTGTAGCGGTGTGCCGCTGTCAATGGCACATAGCAGGCTGGGTTGTAGTGGTGTGCTACTGTCAATGGCACATAACAGGCTGGGTTGTAGTGGTGTGCTACTGTCAATGGCACATAGCAGGCTGGGTTGAAGTGGTGTGATACTGTCAATGGCACATAGCAGGCTTGGTTGTAGTGGTGTCCTACTGTCAATGGCACATAACAGGCTGGGTTGTAGTGGTGTGCTACTGTCAATGGCACATAGCAGGCTTGGTTGTAGTGGTGTGCTACTGTCCATGGCACATAACAGGCTTGGTTGTAGTGGTGTGCTACTGTCAATGGCACATAGCAGGCTGGGTTGTAGTGGTGTCCTACTGTCAATGGCACATAACAGGCTTGGTTGTAGTGGTGTGCTACTGTCAATGCCACATAACAGGCTGGGTTGTAGTAGTGTGCTGCTGTCAATGGCACATAGCAGGCTTGGTTGTAGTGGTGTGCTACTGTCCATGGCACATAGCGGGCTGGGTTGTAGTGGTGTGCTACTGTCAATGGCACATAACAGGCTGGGTTGTAGAGGTGTGCTACTGTAAATGGCAAATAGCAGGCTTGGTTGTAGTGGTGTGCTACTGTAAATGGCACATAGCTGGGTTGTAGTGGTGTGCTACTGTCAATGGCACATAGCAGGCTTGGTTGTAGTGGTGTGCTACTGTCCATGGCACATAACAGGCTTGGTTGTAGTGGTGTGCTACTGTCAATGGCACATAGCAGGCTGGGTTGTAGTGGTGTCCTACTGTCAATGGCACATAACAGGCTTGGTTGTAGTGGTGTGCTACTGTCAATGGCACATAACAGGCTGGGTTGTAGTAGTGTGCTGCTGTCAATGGTACATAGCAGGCTTGGTTGTAGTGGTGTGCTACTGTCCATGGCACATAGCGGGCTGGGTTGTAGTGGTGTGCTACTGTCAATGGCACATAACAGGCTGGGTTGTAGAGGTGTGCTACTGTAAATGGCAAATAGCAGGCTGGGTTGTAGTGGTGTGCTACTGTAAATGGCACATAGCTGGGTTGTAGTGGTGTGCTACTGTCAATGGCACATAGCAGGCTGGGTTGTAGTGGTGTGCTACTGTCAATTGCACATAGCGGGCTGGGTTGTAGTAGTGTGCTACTGTAAATGGCACATAGCAGGCTGGGTTGTAGTGGTGTGCTACTGTCAATGGCACATAGCAGGGTGGGTTGTAGCGGTGTGCTACTGTCAATGGCACATAGCGGGCTGGGTTGTAGTGGTGTGCTGCTGTCAATGGCACATAACAGGCTGGGTTGTAGCGGTGTGCTGCTGTCAATGGCACATAGCAGGCTGGGTTGTAGCGGTGTGCCGCTGTCAATGGCACATAGCAGGCTGGGTTGTAGTGGTGTGCTACTGTCAATGGCACATAACAGGCTGGGTTGTAGTGGTGTGCTACTGTCAATGGCACATAGCAGGCTGGGTTGAAGTGGTGTGATACTGTCAATGGCACATAGCAGGCTTGGTTGTAGTGGTGTCCTACTGTCAATGGCACATAACAGGCTGGGTTGTAGTGGTGTGCTACTGTCAATGGCACATAGCAGGCTTGGTTGTAGTGGTGTGCTACTGTCCATGGCACATAACAGGCTTGGTTGTAGTGGTGTGCTACTGTCAATGGCACATAGCAGGCTGGGTTGTAGTGGTGTCCTACTGTCAATGGCACATAACAGGCTTGGTTGTAGTGGTGTGCTACTGTCAATGGCACATAACAGGCTGGGTTGTAGTAGTGTGCTGCTGTCAATGGCACATAGCAGGCTTGGTTGTAGTGGTGTGCTACTGTCCATGGCACATAGCGGGCTGGGTTGTAGTGGTGGGCTACTGTCAATGGCACATAACAGGCTGGGTTGTAGAGGTGTGCTACTGTAAATGGCAAATAGCAGGCTTGGTTGTAGTGGTGTGCTACTGTAAATGGCACATAGCTGGGTTGTAGTGGTGTGCTACTGTCAATGGCACATAGCAGGCTGGGTTGTAGTGGTGTGCTACTGTCAATTGCACATAG